GACAGTGCAGTGAATTTTCCCCTGGACCACCGGGGGCTCCCATATATATATGTATATGTATAATGTATATGTATGTAATATATGTATATTATCTAAGTATAATGTGCTACATGTATTTATATCTGCATGTCATTTTATAGTGTGATACCTTGTCAAGTGGCTTGGTATTTCAGGTAGATTTGAAGTGACAGTTCACTGCAGTAAATAAAATGTGACTAATTGTGAGTTAATTTGACATAAAAATGCATAGAAAATAGTAAAGGTAGCCTTCTACTGTGCATTTGATGACAACCTGAGCATTGAATTATTTACCAGTGCTTTGTATTGCTGTTAGAGGATCATTTTACACTATAATATTGTTACTGCATAGAAAAAAATGTGTTCAGCAGTCTTAGTGATCTTTGAAAAGGAGAACTTTTTTTTAAGTTTAAAATATAGTTGATTGTATTTTAACTAGAATCTCCCTGACTATTTTTGTTTGTGAAGCCTACAGAGTATTCTATTTTGTATTTTGAGGCAAAATGGCATATATGTGTGGAAATTCCAAAACTAGTCTGAGAGACATAAGAAAACATAACTTCTTTTTGGATTTTGAGCTTTCAAGTGTCTTTTTTCAGGTTTGGATGTTTTCTTTGATTTTTGAGGTTTCTTTCGTAAAAAAAGAGTGTATTAGAGGTTTGTTGAGCGATGAAATTCTGGGGGTTTTTTATGCCTTACTTATGCCTTACTGAGAATACCTAAAGTGTTTGAATCCATATGTTAACATTTGTATTTGTGAATACAATTAAAAGGAGTTTATGTGTGGGTTGCAGCTACTGCTGCACTTAGCTCTAGATAGCAAAGTCATTGTGTCTGGGTTGGTCATTACTTTCAGATAGATAGATATATATATATATATATATATATATACATATATATATATGAACGAGGACTAGAAAACTTCGCTTCTTGCAAAACAAAGAGAAGGAAAATCAGAAGTTCAGTGAGAACCCCTGTGACGGTTTGGACTTGGCTCCCTGCCAAATGCCCGAAAGCTAGGACAGCAGCCCCCTTCCCCCCTTCTTTCTTCCCTTAGGTTAAAGGAGAAAGAAACTATAAAAATTAAAGAACCCACAATCAAGCTGCTTATATAAAAATATATCTATATTTACGCAAATTACAGTTATATACAGTTAAGAT